TTCGGGGTTTGGGTTTAGGGTTTAGGGGTTTCGGGGTTAGGGTTTTAGGGTTTCGGGGTTAGGGTTTTAGGGTTTAGGGGTTTAGGGTTTAGGATTTAGGGTTTAGGGTTTAGGGTTGTCCTACGTAGGGTATAGGCAGGATAGCCAGTCTTGTAGCCTATAACCCGCATGAGGGGACGTAAGGCCCCGCTTATCGCCCACATGAAGCCCCAAGTAAGGGGGCAGACGTGGGGTTTAGGGTTTAGGGTTTAGGGTTTAGGGTTTAGGGTTTAGGGTTTAGGGTTCAGAATGAATGTTGGGTTTAGGATATGTGGTTCCCTAAGGCCTACACGTCCCAGGCCCCTGTTTAGGAACCCTAAAACAACAAGAACCACTATAGAAATCCATCTTGTAAGGCTTCCAAGTTCAGCTTACTTGGGAGGTTTGGTCTTGAGGGTTTGGATTCGGGTTGCGACCATAGCAGGCACTGATTTGGCATCCGATTTGGCCTTAGAAGACACATCTTCGTGTCTACGTATACTGCATCGGTGGTGGTGGTGGTGGTGGTGGTGGTGGTGGTGGTGGTGGTAAAGGCGACAGGTGCAGCATGGTGCAACTCGCTCGTGCCACTACAACTACTATGACTGCCTGTCGTATTCATCCGACCGTGCTTTTGACTACCCAGAATTGCCGAGTTTCATGCCGCTCAGTATGTATGCTTACACAACAGCGTTCCTGCTCGATTGCTTCACTTCTAAAACTACGGCGTCCTTTGCCCTGCTCCTGTCTTGCCAACCTTACAGTTCTCGGATTCTGTCGTTTCTGGCAGGTGCTTCTTGCGCTTCCAGCTGGTCTTTGCTCTTTGGCTGAATCGTGACGACACGTAGAACGGATGTATGCAGAGCTTTTTGGGACAAGCAGACAATCCCTAAGGGTCCATGTACCCAAATAGTAGAACATTGGCCTTAATGTAGTCCCTATATAGGTACTTTGGGGTCAATGTTCTACTATTTGGGCACATGGACCCTTAGGGAATGCAAAGCTCATAGACGTTCTAGGGGTTCGCGGGCCTCGGGGCAAAGCAGCCACAGGCGCCACTTGTGCAAGCACATACACAAGAAGTACATGCACAAGTGTCGAAAACCCCGACCCTAAACCCTGAACCCCAATCCCTAAGCCCATAAACCCTGAAGCCCAAACCAGACTAAGTTGGAGCACGAGGCCTCACCGCCTGCGGACCCCACGACGGCGCCGATGTTTCAGGTCGCCGTGAACGAGGCCAGCCTACAGGCTTCTAGATTTTTATACGTCATTACTGGGTTCAGGGTTTTTGTTTAGGGTTTAGGCTTGTTAATATTATTCTTAACCATAAATATTACAAATAGTCCATATTATAAGTATCTATTATTGATAGTACTTATTATCGACAGCAAGTCTTAATCATAAGTATTTCTTGTTCATAGTAACTATTCTAATTATTAAGCCTGTCAGACTTTATACTAATAGTACATATTATTGACAGCAATTTTTGATCATTAGTATGTCTTATTCATAGTAACAATTCTAATTATTAGGCCTAAACCCTAAACCCTAAACCCCTTTCAGACTTGAGAGCTTGGGCCCAGAGAGCCCCAGACGGCAAAAGCCAAGCACCCGAGCAGCTCATCGGTTCCGAGAAGTCGCAGAAACTTCGAAGCCTAAACCATGGGTTTAGGGTTTAGGGTTTAGGGTTTAGGGTTTAGGCCCCCACTCAGTAACAGTTGGATAATATTTATATTATGGATATATTAGGCCCTTTATAGTAGCCCTATTATAGACTGTTACTGTATGGGGGCAGTACCCAGCCTAAACCCTAACCCTAAGGGTCCACTTACCCAAATAGTATATGCTTTGGCCTTAAAGTAGTCCCAATATAGGTACACAACAATAACCAATAAAAACCAAGAACAACAGTGATAATACCAATAGTAGTAGAAATAGTAGCAAGAATAATCCCCCTGATTCGTAGGTGCCGACCTCCAGACACCCGAAACAACTACCCTGAATCATCAACTGTTGAAGTTGAAACCTCATCTTGGCTCAACATTACCTCTAAACCCCTGAACCCCTAATCCTAAACCCTAAAGTCTAAAGTTCTAAATCCTACATTCTAGCTTCTAGATTCCTGAACCTTCTAAGCCTTAGCCCTAAACCCGAAGATTCTGAATCCTGGAAACCCAAACCTGAAACCCTGAGGCATATCCGTGTGTTGAGCTTCTTGGGTTGATGTGGCTAAGCGCATCCAACAACCGGCCGGTGCAAGTAAGGGCTATACCCTTACAACTATGGGTTCACAAGCCGTAAGCCCCAAAGCCCAACATAAACTGTAAACTTTTCCTCCTAGAATTATTGTGAGTGTATATAAACTGTGAACTTTTCCTCCTAGGATTACTGTGAGTTTATGACCTAATGTTTCGCAGGGCTCAGGGCTGCAAGTACGCCCTGGACATGATTTCCGCAAATGTGAGGGTATCTACAAAGGAGTTAGTGTTTAGGGTTTAGGGCTTAGGGTTTAGGGTGTAGGGTTAGTATAGGGTTCTGAAACTCCCACACAAAGGATTCTGGAAGAAAGCAGGCCACTGGTTAAACAAGCCTGTTGCCTGAAGGGGATGATGCTGCTCATGCTTCTGGAGAATATAGGGGTCTAAATAATTACCTATAGTATTTTGGGGGTTCCTTATTATGAACCTGCTATACAATACCCCCAAGACCCTATTCTAATTATTAAGGTCCCTACATTAATTGCCAAGACTGGGCGATTAGTCGGTGGTGCGACGTCACCCTTCGATCCCAAACGAACTCTAATCCCTCAAGGCTGTTTCAGGGTTTAGGGTTCATTACTTCGGCTTCCTTGTCCATGTGCCTTGCTGAACACGGTTTACCCTCCTCCAGCTCAAATCTTGGTAGCTTGAATGTTAGCGTTTCGGGTTTTAGGGTTTAGGGTTCAGGGTTTAGGGTTTAGGGCGTTTAGGGTTTAGGGTTTAGGTTTCGGGTTTAGGGTTTAGGGCCTTATAGGGTTTAGGGCCTTTGGGTTTCGTGGCTGCGGGTTTTAGGGTTTAGGGCCTGGGTAGTCAAGTTGCCAGCGCAGGCGCTCGCGACATCCTTCGGGACTATGGGCCTCTCGCCTGCAAGCGCGTTCGGGTTTAGGGTTTAGGGTTTAGTGTTTAGGGTTTAAAGTTTAGGGTTTAGGGGGGAAGTCCTTATTATGCCTATAGTACAAGGCCTCTTTGTTAGGCCTTCAACATTCCTAAACCCGAAATCCTGAACTGTGAAGGCGGTATACCGCAGCCCTCCGCAATAAGACTGCAGAGGTGCGTAGTGTGCCTACGATTGAAGAGGTCCGCGGTAACCAAGCCTAGAAACCCCAAGTCCTGAACCCCTGACCCAAGTCTTGGGTTTACCTGTAGTCTCCATTAGTTCCTTTTTGGGGATACCTTATACAATCCTTAATATAGAATTGGTTGAACCGAAAAAAAAGAAGCACAATGGAGACTATAGGTAGGGTTTATTGGGTTTAACAAGGGTTTAGGCTGTTTCCATGATTTTGCTTATCATGTCTTGGGCCGACGGAAAACGATGCCGTGTAGCATCAATGGGCACGGACAGCTGCGGTTCAATGACAAGGAGGCCTCTACAACAGACGGAATCTCCAAATTACGCCAGGTGGCCCCGAATGCTTCAATTCCTACAACCCCAAAATGCGTATACTCTAAACCGCAAATCCTATAAAGCCTACTTCACGCTGCCAAACCTACATTTTGTAGGGTCCCTAGAACGCCCTACATGAGTTCCATATTTGGGTTCATAATGAGTAGCTTGTTCTAGACTCATGGTATGTCTTGAACGCCAAGCCCTTTATTAAGCCCTAAACCCCAAGCCCTATACCCAAAACCCTAAGCTCTCAGCGCTAAACCCCAAACCCGAAACCCTAACCGTTAAACCCTAAACCCTAAACCCTAAACCCTAAAAACCCCAAACCCTAAACCCTGAACCCTAAACCCCAAACCCTAAACCCTAAACCCTAAACCCTGAGCCTTAAGCCCTAAACCCCACCGCCAGGCTCGGGGCTCCTTCAGTGGTCGCTGCTCTCCTTCAACGAGGCCGCAGCTCTCCGAAGCCTTTTTTTGGATTTCGGGCCTTTGGTTCAGGAGCCCTTGGGTTGAGGGTTTAGGGTCTAAGGTTTAGGGTTTAGGGTTAAGGGTTTAGGGTTTAGGGTTTAGGGGTTTTGGGTTTAGGGTTTAGGGAGTATCTATAGTCTCCATTGTAGTTCCTTTTTTTGGTTTAACCAATTATATACTAAGGATCTTATAAGGTATCCCCAAAAAGGAACTACAATGGAGACTATAGGTAGGGTCTAAGAAGTTTTGGGTTTAGGGTTTAGGGAGTTTTGGGTTTAGGGTTTTGGGCTATAGGGTGTAGGGGCCGTATAGGACCCTTTTGAAGGAACCCTTGTAGATCACTTTAAACCTGTAGTCTCCATTATAGTTCCTTGTTTGGGGATGCCTTATAAAATCCTTACTATATAATTGGTTAAACCAAAAAAAGCAACTACAATGAAGACCATAGATAAGGCTCCCTTTAAGGAGCCTAATGCTCGCCTTCCCTTCCGAGTCAGGATTTTTTTGAAGGAACCCTTATAGATCACTTTATATAACCCTAAACCCTAAACCCTAATAAGGCTCCCTTTAAGGAGCCTAATGCTCGCCTTCCCTTCCCGAGTCGGGGCTCGGCATCCTGCGCGTGCGCGCCGAGCAGATGCCTTCACTGCGCTTCGGGCTCACGATGATGCACCTCGGATAAGGCTCAAGGGCTAAAAGCCCCAAACCCTAAACCATAAACCCTAAACCCTAAACCCTAAACCCCGAAGCCGCACCTCGGATGGGGTTCAGGGAATAATTACCAAGACTATTTTGGGGATGATGCACCTCGGATGGGGCTCAGGGGTTTGATAGAGCAATGATGCACCTCGGATGGGGCTCAGGGAATAGTTACCAAGACTATTTTGGGGGTGATGCACCTCGGATGGGGTTCAGGGGTTCAATAGAGAAGCCTAAGTAATTACCAATACGATTTTTTGGGGGGTTCCTTATTATTAGAATAGGGTTTTGGGGCCCATCAGGGTTTTTGGGGCCTCAGGGTGTAGGTTTATTTCGACCTTTTGGAGTTTAGGTTCGCCTGGGTTTTGTCAGTGTATACGATGCGCCTTGGATGCGCGTTTCAAGGCATTACGTACTCTCTCCCTCAGCGTTTGGGGATACCTTGTTTCTCCGTTGATCTCTGTTGTGAAGGACCCCCAACTACATGGTGGTTTCCAAGACAAGAACTCTTTCGCCCTCAATGGAGGTTCGTAATTATAGGCGTTCGAAAAAGTGGTGCGGAGGTGTAGCATATCAAGAAAGTTAACTCGCCATGCCTGCATGCCCGCATCGGTAGTTTGGCTGGGAGGCTGTGTCGTTGGGCACCCAGAAAGTACCTTTGCTTCCGGTGGCTTTGGGGACATGCACAGACAAGGCTTCAAGATTCCACGTCAACTCTCCATTGAAGTTTCTTTCCAGGGCAATATTGTTTCTTGTATATAGGACCCAGCAAGCAAACTGATTCGCCGAAACAGGTGGTCAATCAAGCCCGAAGCGGTCAGCAACTACATGCGCACTGCTATAGGGTTTAGTTTTGGGTTTAGGGTTTTACTTATCTATCGATTTATCTATCTATATCTATACGTATATAAGTTAGGGTTTGGAGCCCTTCGTGTGTGCTGCGAGCTTCATGCACACTGTCTGTTGTTGTTCGGGGTTCAATACATTCTGAGCTACAAGGGTTTTGAGAACCGCAATGCTCAATGCTGTATACAGAAATCAGGATCATCATTATCATGAGTTCTCAATCTAAGTTACTTCATACCAACATGAGTAGACTGGTGATACGTGTGTATATATACGTATATATGAGTGGGTATATATATATATATATACATATACATACATACACACATACATATAAGCACGCGTGTATACACATATACATACGTGCGTCTGTGCGTGTGTGTGTGTGTGTGTTTGTGAGTATGTGTGTGTATATAAAGCATATTGTTATGTACTGATTTGTCTCTGTACCATGTATGCTTATATATACATATGTACATACATACACTGTGCAAACAAGGACTCGATGTAGCGGCAAGCGTTGCCGCGTCGATGTGCTCGCAGTGGCCGCGAAGCTAGGGGAAGTTACATTTTCTGAGGGGCGCATCGAGGGAAAGCTTTTTGAAAGGGTGTTGGATGTAGTTTCGAATTTCGCCTTTGTAGTCTGTGAAGCAGCACGATCCGTGCTATCGCCAAGGCATGGACGATATTGCTGATGCTGCTGATGATGATGATGATCATGATCATGATGAAGAGGATGACGATGACGATGACGATGACGATGACGATGACGATGACGATGACGATGACGATGACGATGACGACGACGATGATGAGCATGACGGTGACGATGATGATGATGATGATGATGGTGATCGTGATGGTGATGATGATGGCGGTGATGATGACGACGGTGATGATGAAGACGGTCATGATGACGGTGATGTTGATGGTGATGATGATGATGGCGACGGTAATGAAAATGGTGATGAAGGTGACGAGCACAATGGCTGCGACCATTTGATGATTATTCAAACTGGGAAGGGCTGGGGGATCGAGTGAATCTAATGTAAATGCCCTTATAAAGCCCTTTCAGGAACCCCCTAGAGGAGCCGTTATAGAACCCTGAAATGTTTCTAGCTGCGTGGGTCGGGTTTCGAAGTATACCAGGTGCAGTCTGATTAAGATCTGCAGCGGGGCAGATCATTTCCAATAAGCTTATAACCTGCTGATTTCCGGGGCTTCTTCACAAGCCGATCGAATCGAATCCTGGATTTCAGGCGCCTTCCCTTGCGGCGCTGGCTTGCGGGAGATGAGTCTCCCCAATGTGTAGGAGCTCGACTGGCGCGAACTTGCAATCTGGTCGACACTCTGTGGCCAGATGGACTGGAAGCGAAACTGCAGCGTGGTGGGCAACAGCTTGCACGAGGGATGTGGCTGTTCTGCAATTATGGGGTTCTGCTACTTTGGCATGCTAATGTCAGTGGTCAAAGTGAACCGAAACACGAAACGATGCGCCCTGATTCATGTTCGGCCGCGCGGGCTGATTGGAACCACCCAGGTTCAAGCGTTGTGAAACCAAAGCACAGACCACTGTAAGCATTTATTCAACGTTGATGCAATTATTCAACCGTACCAGCGCTTCAACCCTAAACCCTAAACCCTAAACCCTTGGCTGCACCTTAAGTTCCAATTCCTGCAACAAAGTCAAGGCAGCATCGATGGACATCGAGTCTTCGTCGACGTCGCTCTGGGAATTCCACGAACCCGTGAGAAGCGCGCTGTGTGCTATGAAGGGTTTAGGGTCTTGGGTTGGGGTCAGGGTGTAGGGTTTAGGGTTTAGGATGAGGGTTAGGGTGTAGGGCTTAGGGTTTGTAGGGCTTAGGATTTAGGGCTTGGGCTTTAGGGCCTGGTGCTTAATGTTAAGGGGTGTTCAAGGAAGGGCACATGCAGTCCAGACGTAGGACGGTATGGCCCGGTATGGCTGTGTAGAAGATACCATTCTAGGTGTGGAACTGAGATATGCTCTTCAGGAGCTCGACATTGTGATTATACCGACATTCGGCGGCCGCATTTTGTATACGATGTCCGAAAACCGAGTAAGAATGTCTTCCTAAACCCTAAACCCTAAACCCTAAACCCTTCCTAAACCCTAAACCGGGCGATGCTGGGGACTTTGGGGGCTGTTTTGAAGCTGTCAAGCAGACGGCAGTGCACGAAAAAGGTCTCTGCACACTGGTCCCTGCTTTGAAGGAAGCTCTGTTGGAGTTTTTGGGCTTTTGGGATTGAATATAGGGGCCTTAATCACTAGACTAAGGTTTTGGGGTAGATAAAACTCGAATTATAGTAAGGAACCCCCAAAATAGTGTGAGTAATTATTTGGCCCCTTTTTTAGGGCGTTCGGATTAGGGGTCGAAGGAGGCTTAGAGGGGACTTCGGGCTCTTAAGGCTTTGGGGGTGAAGTTGATGGGAAGATCGGTCGACCTCGGAATAATATAGGGGCCTTATTACTTAGAATAGGGTTCGGGGTATATTATATTTTACTTATAACAAGGAACCCTCAAAACCCGACGTATTCTAATTTATTAAGGCCCCTACATTAGCAACCTCAAAAAGCAAATCCTGACGCGATTCCTGTAGTTTCATCACCACCGAAAGGCAGAGTTCTCGTTGAGATAGCATCCGATATAGGGGCCTTAGTAATTAGAACAGGGTTTTGGGGCTATATTATAGTATAAATCCAATAAGGAACCCCCAAAACCAAAACCCTAAACCCTAAACCCTAAGCCCTAACAAACTATAATTATTAAGGCCCTTACATTAGACAAGGGGAAGCTGTCGGACGCAGAAGTTCGTTGTGATGCCCATTCTCACTCTGCCCTTGCGGGCGATCACCGCTAATAACCCTAAACCCTAAACCCTAAACCCAATAACATAGTACAAACATGGCAACTATAGTATGTCGAAGTCTGCGAAGTACCCACAGGGTCCGCATAGCAGTGCCCTGAAACTGCTTGGTTTAAGGTTGGCTCGTTAGGGCCCTCGGTCTTTACGGCTTCAGGCTTTAAGGTTTCTACGTCATTCGTGTTTTGGTGGCAGAGTCTAGGGTGGCTTCTTGGGTAGCTCGTGATTGATTTTGCAAGCTGGAGGCACCTACTCATCCAATGGCAGCGGGCGCGACTGGCCTGCAGCTCAGTGACCACGCTGCCTGTCGATGTCGCCATGATGAAGCCCTACGGGCCCATGTACCCAAATAGTGTATACTTGGGCCCGAGGTACCTATAAAGAGACTACGATAAATAAGGCCAAAGTACGTACTCTTGGGCTGACGGACCCTTGGGGAAATCCAAGGGCTGCTACCCAGAGACGTCAACATTCAATCAGACAGGGTCTTCTTAAGTTCAGGCAGAGCCTGCGAAGAAGGAGCCCCATCAATCCCACGACAACGACATCACCCAAAATCACATGTTCGCCAATCCTTTAAAGTGCAGCAAAAGAAATCCTTTTCATACGCTACAAACACCCTTTGTATTCCGAGCATTCCTTCACACTAGTGATCGTTACTTGGGAGCACATAGGAAATTTCAATTGGGGTTCGAAGTCGGGTAACTATAACAATAATTTCTAACCCCACTTAAAACCTTAGTTCTCCAATACCCAACCTTTAAGCTTTGGGGTTCTTATAATTTGATAGTAGTAATCTGGAAAATTAGCCTTCTATTTCCCTGGCTTATTGGGGAGGTAGGAAACTACCCTAAACCCTAAACCCTAAACCCTAAACCCTTAACCCTTAAACCCTACCCATGAACCTCCAAGTAGAGTCTCTGTTTCTCTGCAGCTCTCTCTGGTCGCCAGGGGAGGTCCGTCAGTTTGTAGGGCCAGGTGCTTTATAAGGCATTTAGGAGTGGGTTTATGTAGGATCCTTCATAGGATTCTTCCATGGTTTCTACTTGTAAGTGGTGCGGATTGCGCAACAGGGTTTAGGGTTCAGGTTTTTTTTTCAGTTCGAGTCTAGGGCTGCACGGCTTCACGATTTCAGGATATTTAAGCCTAGGGCTTCTGGGTTTGCTGTAGCTGCAGGAGGGCTTGAGAGGCCATAGTGTTTTGCGGCTCATGGGTTTAAGGTTTAGGGCTACGGAGTGTCAAGCTCCTTCCCTTCCTCGCCGTCTGGCAGGGTTGAAGGGCCCAACGCAGCTTCCTTTCTTGCTTATTTGACTGCCCAACTTTGCTGGCTTGAATCCTGCACCTGACAAACCAGGTAACCAAGGCCATCGATGAAAAGGAACCGTAATCACTAAACCCTGAACTCTAAACCTGCTTTGAACAAAATAGAAGTATCAAGCCCGGTACCTCGTTTCTCCGTCGAAACTAGGACCGGTTGCTCATATAGACGTGTGAGTAAGCAGTACTACTATCCCCATGTAGTGCCGATGCGATGATACTACAGAAAACTCTAAACCCTCAACCCCAAACCTGTATCCGAAAAGTACAAATCCCTATGTTGATCTTCTTCTGCGAGTGAAACTAGGCTGTTCCAGCCGATGCTCCCTTTCCAGGGGGCCTTGGGGCAAGGATTGAATTCTTAAAGGCGTCTTTATAGCCTGGTTTACGGCTTTCCTTGAACCTAAATTGGACCTAAATTTTTGCATATCCTCATCGTTGGGTTTCCGTGTGGATCTCCTTTTCTTAGCATGCCAAGGGTTGAGGAATTTGCTGCCTCACATCTGAAGACAAAGGGTCCATGTACCGAAACAGTATAAAAAAACTTTGGCCCTTAAAGCAGTCCCTATATACGTACTTCCGGCCTAAAGTATATATCATTTGAGCACACGGAACCCTAAACCCTAAACCCTAAAACCCTAAACCCTAAGCCCTGAAACCCTAAAGCCCTAAACCCAATGGAACCTCAGAGCAAGACAGCGCTGCGAGGTTTTTCATGGGGGACTTCGAATATCGACATGGCCGCCGAACGCCTCCGCCCAACACCAAAGGCCGAGCATCTTCGTAAGCATTTTCATGCAGCTATCTTTATATATGTATGAACATATATATATATATATATATAGACTATACCTATATATATATATATGTACATATATGTACATATGTATTATATCTGTATATACATATGTATATATATATATATATGTATGTCTGTCTATATGTGTATATATATATATATAGAGAGAGAGAGAGCGAGATAGAGAGAGAGAGAGAGCGAACTTCAGAAAGTTGGAACATGAGTTTAGGATGATTTGTGCTTGGATTCCCGCGGTAATGAGGTTCCGACTTGTTGGCTTCCTACTGTGTATATATATATATATATATGTAATATGTGTCTACATATATATATATATATGCGTGTGTAATATACGCATACATATACATGTACGTATAGATGTTTGTTTAAGTATATCAAAGGTTGCGGGGGGGAGGAGGAGGAGGAGGAGGAGGAGGTGGAAAACGAGGATGGCTAATGCGATGCGATGATGACGATGACCGTGATGATGCTGATGACGATGATGCTGATGCTGACGATGATGATGATGATGATGATGATGATGAT